TAATCCTTAAAAGATTTTAGGGTTACCTCTTCAGAGGGGGTAATGTTGGAGGGGAAGGAGTGGGCATGGATTTGATCAAAATGCCTTATATGTATGTATGAAATTCTCAATAAAGTTTTTGTAAAAACTAAAAAAAATAAAGAAGAAAAAAAAATTTTGGTACATTTTTACCTGCATCATTTCTAATCCTCATGGGGAATCCAAGAAATAATATTTTCATTGTACAGTGAAAAACTATGACCAAGCATTGAGGTAACTTACCAAAGTTCACAAGATTACCCATTAATAGGAAAATATATTCTGATTCTCATTTCTAAAGGTAAAAATATTTTTGGAAAAACAAAAAGAATCTCCAAAAATACACCGTTCACCAAAATCATCCCTTGCTAAGAATGAGAGCAAAGACATCTCCAGTACAGGTACAGGGGGGCTAAATGGGACAGAGCTCTTCTAGCAGAAAGCTCAACCTCTGAGTGACTATGACCCAAAACAACCATACCTTAGGATCATTTTCAAGCTGTTGATTTAACTTCTTCCAACCTAATTTATCATAATTAACTCGATAATATCCAGTCATATTCAAATTTAAAATCACCCAGTCATGGTCAGAATCTGAAAGTTGCATTTCAGGGAATATTTCTACAAAGAAATATAAGAATAGTTTGAAATAAGATTTTTTAAAAAGATTTCAATACATTTTATATAATACATTCTCATGTCTAAACGACAAGCCAAATAAAATATAATTTAAGATAATTTGTAATTGTATGTTGATCTACCATATAGTTACATTTTCCTATATAATGAGTTTTAATTTGAAACTTGTCTTTTAAACTCTGTTCAACAAGTAGGTTTCCAAAAGTTAAGCATTTTCATATTTTATTTTCTGCTTTTATATTGGCATGTATGTAAAGACACTTTTTATAGATTTTTTTTTTTTTTACTTACTGCTGCTTTTATCCAGCCAGGCTAAAGATTGTATGATTCCATTTTTCATCCAAAGTATAGGGACAATCCATGTGCTACTTTTTGGAAGAGAAGAAAAAAAGTCATTTTTCACACTCAAGAATATATGCTCAGTCAAGATTAAAGAGATGATAAAATAGTCATTCTCAAAGTCATGGTGATTCAGTAGCTGCACAGGGCTTTTGTTGGTATGGTTACTGGCTGCTGTTTATATGAGGCAATGCCACTTCAAACCTTTGTCACTCCTGCCTCTTGCTGTATCTTATGGATTTACTTCTTATAGCACAGGCAACTACTAAGAATATCTGAAATGTTGAAGAACTGATTCTGCTAAATTATAGCTACGTGGCCTCACTCTGGGGTATTCAAATGTTGCAAACAGACCCAAATCTATCCATGCCTAGAGAAGTGAAGGGTAATTTCAAAAGAAAAAAAGCTTGACAATGTTTCAAAACACTCCTCAGCCCCAAGCTTTCTCTCCAGCTGAAACTTGTTCATGTGCATCAGGCAGAACATTCATATTTATTGAATGTCTACATTTTCCTCTGCGTTAGTGGATGTGACCTGGATGAATCAGCTGACCACAAGGAGTACATTAGTCATCAGAAGAGACACAGCTTGGAGCTTAGGCAATTATTTCCAGTCTTCTTCAAACTCTCATATCTTGGCTTCTCAGACATTCAGTTATGAGTCTGTGTTTTTCTGCATAGCTTAAACTGCCCACTTCTGAAAAGTCACAGATATTATAGTGAAAAGGAGCTTTTGGGTCTTGAGTTTCTTTCCTCTAGGATTTTGAAGAAAGAGTAGGGCTATTTGAATTATTATTATTATTATTATTATTAGTAGTAGTAGTAGTAGTAGTAGTAGTGGTAGTAGTAGTATATGTGTGTATCTATGTATGTGATGTGGGAGGGGACATACATATGCCATGGCACATGTGTAGAGGTCAGAGGACAACTTGGAGGAATCAGTTCTCTCCTTCTACCTTAACATGGGTGTCAGAGATCAAGCTCCGGTCACCAGACTTGCTTGCAAATTCTACGCTACCACTCCTCACTGCATTTTTGCAATACCCAGGATGCAGACCATTCTATTTGTATTATAGATAATGTAATTGGAACTCAAAAATTTTAATAAGACCTATTTAAGGTTTGACTTTTGCAGAAGTCAATATTTGAAACAGGTCCAAATATATCTAAAGGTCATAAATTTAAAGCTTCAAGTGTTGCTTTAAATACACAAGCACACATGTGCACCACACAATGTGCACACATGTGCACAGACCTAGGCTCAAAGATGTAGTTACCATTTGGTTCTGTATTTAGGGAAGAGATTGCAACAGGTCATCCTTTTCTGTTAACTAACATGTACCATTAGTGATACCATCTTCTTGCCTCTTACCAGAATCCCAAGTAATTCATTACTTCTGCCTGAAGGATGATGAGAAACACATAGCATTCCAACACTCTGGTCACTTGTGTCACTCTAAGTCCCAGGTGAGGGCACACTTTGATCCCTAGCTTCAGGTCTCTAGCCTTGCTCAGTGCTTGGGGTTCTGCATCACCCTAGAACACAGGGCATCCCCCAGAAGAAAGGCATGTGCCCAGCAAGGGTCATGCTAACTCGTCACTGGCTGGCTTGCACCCCAGCATAGCTCAACGCCAAGCAGGGTGAAGGTAGAGGAGCAAAGTGACCTACTTGTGGCTTAGAAGAGTCTGATTTTCAACCTTTTCAAGATAGAATGGCTCCTGTATCATGACACCAGTAGACACATTTAAAGTAAGGACTGGAAAACCACTCTGGTATGTCCAGCTGTCCATTATGGTTTTCACTGTTGCTGGCAAATGAATTATAGTCTGCTTATCAATGGCCTGTTTTAAAAAAAATCATCACAAAGCAGATGTGGCTTATCAACAAAACCTTTTGAAGCTTCAATCTCCCCCAAAGAAACAAAATAACCTTTCTATCCCTCCTTTATGTAGTAACCAAGTAACCACTGGGAGTCTAACGAGCTGAATTCAGAACTGTTTATCTCTATAAACTTTTCCTCCAGTATCTGAAGATTCTAATGCCCCTTACATAATCTAGAACAGTACTTACATGTAACGAATGCACATTTTCAAGTGTGCTGTAAATTATCCCTAAATTATTTACAATACATACTGTAATACAAATACTATGTAACTATAATGGTTGTTATATTGTATTGTTTACGGAATAGTGACCCCAAAAAAGTCCAGGACAGATGCAACTTTTTTTTATTGTCCATCTGGGATTGATTGGAACCACAGAAGGCTGACTATGAGTGGTGCCTTGGTTATTAATTTATTCCTTCACTGAGCATATATTTATAGACCTACTGTGTGCCAGCCTCTGTTCTAGGCATGGAAATATGATGAAAACTAAAGAAATACTTTGGGGGCTGGAAAGATGGCTCAGGGGTTAAAAGCACTGGCTGCTCTTGTAAAGGACCTGGGTTCAAGTCCCAGCCCTCACATGGTGGCTAACAACCATCCATAACTCCAGTTCTAGGGGAATTCATCAACACCCCCTTCTGACCTCCATGGACATTGCACAACACAGGTGCACTTATATACATGCAGGCAATACACTGATACACATAAAAACTAATAAATAACATTTTAAAAAAAAAGAAACACCTTTGACCAAAGGGAGTTTCAAAGCCAAGGAAAAGTCATGTTCTTGTGGAGCGGCTATTTACCCATGGCCTCCTGATCTTATACTACATTAGACAAAAATGCTCAGAAAGAAAATGTTTCGAAAAGGACAATTACCATTTGAAAATGTCTCCATAGATCATCTTGCTCAGCATTTGAGTAAGAAAATGTCTCCAGATATGACTGTGGAAACAGAGGAATTAAGGTTAAAATAATAGCATGCCAAAGCATTTCCATTTGCTACCACCCATGTAACAGTCTTGTAAACTCACCTTAAGTGCACTAATAAATAAATGCTCACTCAGGAAACTAGAAAGCATCCGGGCCATAGACGCTCCCTAGGACATATGAAAAAATTCATTGTTTGAACAAAATTCAATATTTACAAAGACACATTCTATTTTATAAGCAATATTCCAGGCTATGCTCCTGATTGGATTTTTGTTTGTTTGTTTTTGTTTGTTTGTTTGTTTGAGACAGGGTCTCCCTGTAGCCCTAGCTGGCTTGGAACTTGCTATGTAGACCAGGTTGCCCTTGATCTCACAGAGATATGCCTGTCTCTGAACCGTGAGTGCTGGGATCAAAGGCATGCCCAACTTCTGATTGCATTTTGTAGCTTAACTGAACCTTTCAATTATCCCCAAATATGTTAATAAAATAATAGACTATCACTAATTAATAGGTAAACAGTGAGCAAATGTCCTACCTATAAAAAGTCAGGGTACACAAACATTTTTTGAGATATTTACACACAAGAATAAAATTCTACGAAACAGAGGAGTTTGGAGCTGGCGAGATGGCTCAGTTGGTAAAATGATTGCCACACACAGAAGCAAGAGGACCTTGGTTCTATCCCCAGAACCCATGTAAAAAAGTTAGTCATGTTTACTTGTAATCCTAGAACTGGGAAGGCAAGCACAAAGGTAAACCTCTGTGGAGCTTGTTCTTGCTGGCCAGTCAGACTTCCCAAATGGGCAAGCCCCAGACCAATGAGAGACTATGACTCCAAAAACAAGGTGAGGTGTGGCACCCAAGGTTTCTTCTAGCTTCCCAATACACACTTGTGGGAGCACTTGTACACACCACACACACACGCACACACACACACACGAGTTTGCTTTTAAAATGTCAAGTTGTGTAAGTCTGTTTATAATGGCAGATGGTAACCACTATCTAATATGGGAATCATTAATAATATTTTCTTGATGAAATCTTATTTAACTACATTTTTGAAACCTATCAGCCAATAAAATTAAAGTTATTTGTATCAAATTTTAAGTATATATTATTCCATAATCCTTAGAAACGATTTTATGTAAGTTTCTGCAAGAGTGCAGAACAAAAGAAATGTATAACTGTTTACCTTGCTGTAAGTAAATAAGTCAAAGAGTTCAATGATTTCACTTGTTTCTGTCAAATTGTCCACCTTCATGGACACAGCTCTAGACTCCAGGGCATGATCTTCTCTGAGGACATCATGTAAAAAGTTAGAAAAAAAGATCTCATTCTATAAAGGAAAAGATCGAGCCACATTAACTTCTGAGGTATTACAGAAACACAAAATCCAGCGGTTCTACCATAATTCCCAAAACTTATACTGAAAAGGAAAACCAATAATTGAAAAATGTCTGAATTACATATACCCCAAACATTAGAATTCTTTGAATAACAAAGCCATAGAACATCTTCCTTCCTGTTTTGTATTACTTACTTCAAGTTTTGAGAAGCTAATTACAAAAGAGCAGGATTTCTAAGAGTCATGTGCTTATGGAGATGGCTTTCTATCACCATCTCTATGTGGTTTCAACCCTCTAGGATTATAATGTTAATTGAATAAGTGACTCCTTAAAATTGAAGAAGTGGCTCCTTAAAATTGGTTGACATTTTTACACGCATATTTGCAAAGCAAAACGTATACTAGACTTACAAAATCACAACAATGCTAACATAATAATTTAAAACTGAAAAGAAATCAACAGGCTTAAAGCGTTTTACAGCTCATGTCTCATGAGAAGGCAATTCATTATATTTTATTGAGAACCATGGAACTGTCCAAGATACTAAGCAATTTCCCCATAATGTGAAAATAGAAAAAAAACCCAATTTATAGCCAAAGTGGGACTTGGGATGACAAAAACAGAGCAAAGACATTGCATTGACAATTCATATCTGGAGAGTGGGCAATCCCCCTGAGGATCTGGCTGTGTTTGGGGTCTCCAAGTTGACTGTCTCCCACCACATCAGTATCAGATAAACTTTCAAACTCTTCTGTATTTTCATACGCCAATGCTTGGTTCAATGCCTTTCTATTTGCACCTTAATTTCTTAATTAGCAATTTCATTAATCAGGATTGTATTAATTACTTGTCTTGTTGTTGTGACAAAGTATACTGGCAAAAACAATTTAAGAAAGGACAGGTTTATTTTGGTTCACAGTTGAAGGGTGCAGTCTATCATGGCTGGGAAATCATGGCAGCCCAGGCTTGAAGTAGTTGGTCACACTGTATCCCCAGTTGGGAAGCAGAGAGCAGTGAGTGCTAGTGCTTAGCTCACTTTCTCCTTTTTCAGTCTGAAACCCCAGTCCACCGAATGGTGCTGCCAACAATTAAGGTGGCTCTTCCCACCTCAATTACCCTAATCTAGATGATCCCTCACAGGCATGATCAGAGATTGCCTCTTAGGTGATCCAGTCCTGTGAAGTTGACAATCAGTATTAACTATCTCAAGGCTATTATCAAATTCTGCTCTTTCTGAAATAAGAACAGCCATAACAAAGAGTAGCATGTTTTAAACTTTGCTGTTTTTGGAGATGGGGTCTTGCCATGTATCCGAGGTTGGCTTTGCATTTGCGATCTTAGCTTCCTGAATACCTGGGATAGCAGGTGTGAGTTACCATGCCTGGCTGTGTCTGAAATTTAATGTGAATATGGATCACCTGGGGGCTGGAGAAATGGCTCAGATGGCTCAGCAGTTAAGAACTCTGGTTGTTCTTGCAGAAGCCCCAGGTTCAAATCCCAGCACCCACATGGCAGCTAACAGCTGTCTGTAACTCCAGTCCCAGGGGATCCGACAGCCTCGTATGACTTCCTCAGGCATTGCACGACACGGGTGCACTTACCTACATGCAGGCAATACATGCATATACATAAAATAAAAATAATAAATAAAAAATTTAAAAATATGGATCACTTGAGGCTTTAGTCAAACTCACATTCGAAATTAGTTGATTCCACTTGGAACCTGTATTTCAAGTAACTAGAGGATTGTGCTAGATAGCTTTAGTTGTCAACTTGACACACCTGGGTTGAGGGAGCCTCAGCTGGGGACTTGCCTCTCTTTGGACTGGCCTATAGCCATGTCTGTGGGGTACTGACTTTTGAGTGATGTGGGAGGGCCCATCCTACATCACCCTGGGCAGGTGGCCCTGTATTGTATGCAGGTTGAGCAGGGGCCAGGGAGCAAGTTAGTAGGCACCATTCCTCCATGGCCTGTTCTTCAGCTCCTGCCTCCATGTTCCTGCCCTGAGTTCCTACCTTGGGCTCCCTCAGTGATGAACTGTGACCTGGGAGATGTAAGCTAAATAAACTTTCATCCCCAAGTTGGTATTGGTCAGAGTGTTTTGTCACGGCAATTAAAGGCAAACTAGAACAAGGATGTTATTTACTAGTTTGATAATCACACTCCAAGTAGCAAGAATTGAGAAGCACCTGCACAAGTCTGATCTTGTTTGTTCAACATAGGTTTTGTTAGCATTCTTGAGAGCATCTCGCTTTTGATTTGTGTGTCATGTACACAATGTAGAAAATAGTAAAAAAAAAACTCTCATAGTTCACACTTAAGATAATCACTACTACAATGTTAGTATTAATATAATTCTTTCCAATTTTTCCTATGTATTTATTTCCATAGTTGGGAGAAATTTTCTGCTACTTATGAAAACATTTTGGATTTTTGCTGCTTGATCTTCATAGCAATGCCTTTAAATGACTGTTATTACAAATGAAACAGAAAGATAACTTGAAAGAAAACAAAGCCAAACAGTGGTTTTCATAGAGTGGACAAGAACAGATGAACTTATTTTTAAAGCATAAGAGAAAAATAAGTACATACCTGTCAAGGCAATGGACCATTAATCATTTTCTTATCACTGAAATTTTAGTTGCTCCTAGCTTCTTGCTCTTATATCAGTTTTAATGAATACTTTTGAAACTCATAGGACCATCTCCCTGTTTTATGAGATTTTCCTCTGTAAAATGGACTGTCTCTCTTCTGACTGGCATGTGATTTTACACAATCTTTAAGCATCAATATAAAGTATGATAATTAAAAGCACAGACTTTGAAGTTGAGCTGCTTGGGTTTAAATTCTATCTCACCCTTTTACTACATATTTTACTCAGACAAGTTACTAACTTTGTCTCCGAAATTCCTTTTGTCATCTCAAAGTGAAAGAACAATATTGTCCTCGCTGAATAGTTTTGAGGACTAAATTAATTTGGGCAAAGTTTTTAGCAAAATGTCCAGCTAATAAAGCCTGCTCAATAGGAGTTAAGCACTGCAATCATCATCATTTTCTCAGAGTTGTTACTAGGAGTGGCTGAATGTATATAATGCTCTAGAAGCTCAGGAGTATATAGCTAACAATGGCTGGCACACAGTGCATAGCAGACGATCAGCAATCTGTTCAATACTGCATGAAACCCATTTTTAGCTTAGGTGTTCAACTGGACACCTCAGCTTATGATGATAAGACAGTGCTCACACCCTCAAGAGCATGCAGGAAGAAGCGGGGGGCTAGAGTATGAACTTTAAAAAAAATTCTATTTATTATTATCATTTTTTGTGTATGAGTACATTACCTACATGTATGTAAGTGCACCCATGTTGTGCAATGCCCATGGAGGTCAGAAGAGGGCATGAGATTCGCTTGGAACTGGAGTGACAGGCTGTTGTTAGCTGCCATATGGGTGCTGGGATTTGAACCCAGGTCCTCTGCAAGAACAGCCAGTGCTCTTATCCACTGAGCCATCTCTCCAGCCCAAGCTATTAACTCTTTTAAAGCCAGTTCCCAATGATGTTGCCTCCTCCAGCAAGGCTGTATCTCCTAAACCTCTGCGATCAATGCCACCAACTGGGGCCAAGTATTAAAATATTTGGAGCCAATGGGGAATATCTTTCATTCAAACCACCACACAACTACACTTTTATTGTTATTCTGAGGACTGACTAAGATGACGCACATAAAGAACTCACACTGCCTGGCACTTACTTTCTAAGTGAATGGCAAAAGTAGTATTTTTATTGTCATCATCCTGGCTAGGACCAGAAAACTGAGTGGTTTCTATCTATCTGTTTTTTCCAGGCAGAGTCTCATGATATAGCTCTGGTTGGCCTGGGACTTACTACATAGACCAGACTGTCCTCAAACTGACAGAAACCCACCTGCCTCTGCCTCCTGAGTGCTGGTATTAAAGGCTTGCACTACCACACCCATCAGACAACTAAGTTTTAGAAAATATATCTTTATTAATTCTTTGAGAATTTCATGCATTGTATTATTTTTATTATATTTACCCTCTCTTCTCCAACTCCTTCCAGATCTACCCCCTTCTCTCCCACCTAACTTTGTCTCTTTATTTCCTTTTTAAGCCTGAGTCCAATTTGTGCTGCTGTTATACTCAGGTGTGTGGCCATTCACTGGAGCATGGGTGACCTAAGAGGGGCCATACTCTTAAAGAAAAGTAACCCTTCCTCTCTCCTCAGTTATCAATTGCAAGAGCTGCTCAACTAGGGCTGGGACTTTGTCCTGACCTGTCTCCCCACTCCATGCTGGGATTTTTTTTAAACCACTTTTTACATTTTATTGGCATATGACAATTTACAAGGATCCCTGTTGAATTATACATCGCACTGAGTAAAAAGCATTTAGCCATCTACATTCATTCTTATTGGGTTAATTTTCTTTAAGATCTCAAACTACAATTCCCAACACTGATTTTAATTGTGACAAAAGGGAACA